ACATAAACATAAACATTAATCTAACATAAACATAAACATAAACATAAAAATCTAACCTAACATAAACATAAACATAAACATAAACATTAATCTAACCTAACATAAACATAAACATAAACATAAACATAAACAAAAACATTAATCTAACCTAACATAAACATAAACAAAAACATTAATCTAACCTAACATAAACATAAACATAAACATAAACATTAATCTAACCTAACATAAACATAAACATAAACATAAACATAAACAAAAACATTAATCTAACCTAACATAAACATAAACATAAACATAAACATTAATCTAACCTAACATAAACATAAACATAAACATAAACATTAATCTAACCTAACATAAACATAAACATAAACATAAACATAAACATTAATCTAACCTGCAGGGGGCGCTGGTCAGCCTCACACAGCGCCGTGTGTAGAAGAAGACTCGTGGAGGAAACATGGCGGCCGTGTTGTTGTGTTATGGAACTCTTGCAGTCACCTCGGCCCGTGTTTAGCTTGGTTTTTGTGTGACTCGGTTCCAGCCGGGAGGATTATGGCTCACCAGTACCTGCGGCTGTCCGCGGGCTGCAGAAGCCTGGTCCGGCTGCTGCTGCTGCCGCCTGGAGCTCCGACCCGACCGGTAGGTGGAGGAGCATGTAGCTACATGCTAACTTACAGCTAGCTTCTGGTACCTGTTAGGTTCAACAGGACGTCAGGTGGACTGACGCATGTTTTCACCTGGTAATGACGTCACTCAGATGTCTTCTGATTTGAATGTCACCTGTAGGGCTGAAAGGTCAAATGTAAAACTTGTTTACTTGGTCTGCTAGATAAACAAACACACTGAGTCAGGATCAGAACCCAGACAGGTGGACTCTTTCACAATAAAAGCATCACTCTTCAGCAGGTGTCTGCGCTGCTCTCCTCAGGTGATGTCATCAGTCAGTGCTCCACAGGTGGGGAGTGGGCGGAGACTGCTGAGCAACCTGCTGGGAGCCTACAGGAGGCTGAGCTCCAAACCGCCTAAAGGTGAGACCACTCAGATGGTTCTGGACTCATGGTGACCAGATCTGTCAGAACCAGCTCAGTCCTGCCTGTTGTTCTGATGGAACCAACCAGAACATCTGGAGATCAGGTCAGATATTTAGAACACACCTGGACGATTTGTTTACCTCCAAGTCAGCTGGTTAAAGCATCAACAAACAGGATGTGATGTCATGTGACAGGATGTGATGTCATGTGACAGGATGTGATGTCATTGTGTCTTTGTCTTTCAGGTTTTGAGAAATATTTTCCTGACTCGCAGAAGTCGGCCCAAAGCTCTGAAGCTGCAGCCAAAGGTAAAAGCTGTGACACCATCAGCTGACACAGAGGCTGTGTGCTGTCAGTGTCTTACCTGCAGCAGTCTGAGGACGCTCACTTTAGATCAGAGCTTCTTCACCTTTTTGACCTCAAGCTCAATTTATTGACCATAAAGAGACACGAGGTCCAGTCAGACTTTACTAATGTATGGATCAAAATGATAATTATTATAAATCTTGGTTTAATTTTTAATGTATTTACATTATAACTAAACTATCATAACTAACATAACTCAA